TGCTGCCTCAGTGTGCTGCTGCTGCCTCAGTGTGCTGCTGCTGCCTCAGTGTGCTGCTGCCTCAGTGTGCTGCTGCCTCAGTGTGCTGCTTCCTCAGTGTGCTGCTGCCTCAGTGTGCTGCTGCCTCAGTGTGCTGCTTCCTCAGTGTGCTGCTGCCTCAGTGTGCTGCAACAGCTGCAGTGTAATGCTATAATTTCATTGCTTGCTTCAGTGCAGTGACAAATTCTATGTCTAGTGTTTCTTGGTCTAGTTTCTGATCTAGACAATCCTAGCACAGGAGGTTGGCAACCTACGTACTGCTAGTTAGAGTGCATTATTTGGCCTAATTAACTCTAGCGTTAATTAGGCAATACTAATTAAACTATTTTGCTGTGCTATAAATGAATTCATCTTGCAGTACAGTATAGTAATTAGTATAATATTATAAAAATATTTGTCATATGCCAGTACTTGAAATATTTATATAACACGTTGACTATGAAGTGGTACATATGTGTACCACTAAAAGTATTTCTCCAGGACGTAGTGGTACATAATTCAAGTTGCCTAAAATTGGCCAAATCTGAGAACAAAAAAAGGCCAAAAAAGGCCAATAACTCAATATATAGGTAGGTACTAATTTATTTGTAGGTTCCACTGTTAAAATTCCATTTATTTTCTTTTTGCAGTATTTAAAATTTAATTAGGAAGTACCCTTATCATAAATTTTAGCCAGCCAACTCAATTGAGAAAAACTAAATCATCGAATTTGTCTGGAAGAAATGACCATCTGGCAACCCTGTTTAAAAACAGTACAAAAAATGAAATAATAGTACAAGATGAAGCAATCGTAGTCAACGTGTTAAGGCATAAAAATACCGTATATTCTCTAAACTCGTACACACTTTGGAGCTGAAATGTGAATTATTTTTCAGGTATTGAAGTTCCAAAGCACATATTCTCCATTTAGTTCTTTAGTTTGCTCCCTCTGTATGAAGCCTTGGTACATTTTTTTAATATATCTATTTCTTTAAAGGCACCTATTTCATCATCATTTGTCTTGAATTAATTCAACTCCTCTAGTATATCTACTATGAATATATTGAGTGCCACTGGTCAGTTCTGCCTCTGATTTTTCCATTGAATATCCTGCTATTAAGATGCCTCCTGTCAATGAGAAGGATGTTGAACGCAGGTGAGTTAATAACCTATCTATTGCTTTGTTATTCATCATTCACAAATAACTGAGACAATCATATTATTGATTGAATTGCCAATAACTGTAGATTCTTTTCAAATTTGTTATGGCTATATACATGAAATGTCTAATTAATGCACGAGATGGCCTCCAAATCATTTCTACAAGAATTAAGTTCAATTGTTCTGCCATTTTCTTTACTAATAAATTCTTATGTAAATGAAGTGGTGTGACATGCTAATTATAACGGTTAGGATTTTATGATTTCAGGTGATTGGGCTGGTGGAAAAAAAATGAATCTGATGAGGACTCTTCTGAATCTCTTGTTTTTTTTGTAAATACTTGAAAACTTAATTAGCATTTGTGTGAATATATGGAGTATCTTTGCCTGCAACCATCCTAATTTCTTTAACTAATCCACTTAAGAAAAAGCTCCTTTTCTGTGTCAACCTTGGAAGACAAATTTGCTCCCATGTCAGTTCATCACCAGCTCTGTATTCCAGAACAATAAACTTGATTCACACCCGCATTGTGATCCAGCCTCTCCCCATCCTCTGTGTACCAGTACCTTGACCAGGCTGGAATTCTAAGATAGTGCATAAATTATCTGCCCTTTTTGGGCCGCTACATGTCCTTTTCCAGCCATGATTGGTTATCCTTTCCAGACTGTGATTGATTGTGTGATGGCTTTTCCTATATGCTATGTGTTTTGGTCAGTTTAATAACTCTCTAGAATTCCACACTGAATTTCTTGACATCTTATAATTCAGCATCTTCTCCTAATCTTTACAAATAGTGGTACCTTAATATATTGCTGTTAAGTTAGCAGAAATTCTGCTTGTGAATGTCTATAAATGAAAAAATTATCATTTGCCATTACCTATATTCTCTAGAGATGCCTTAACTTGCCACTATTCTTTTCTTATCACAAAATAAGATATTATGGGTTTTTTGCATTAAACATCAAGAGTCATATATTTACTTTCTATTTGAAATTTAACAGAAGTGAAACCATTGTTCTTTATTTTTTTATGAATCACGGCCATAATTGTACTGCTTGGGAATAGAGGATTTAAATTTTGAGGCTTGGTTCATGCTTGTGATTTATTTTGAAGATGATTATTTGCTACAGTGCATCATAACTCACAGTTGAGTCCCTCTTATCATTATGTTTACAGGGAAGAAACTTCAGGAGATGACAATGATACAACAAATGATCTAGTCAATGGACATGCAGCTGCAACAGTGGCGGCAGCAACAGCAACAACAGCGGCGGCAGCAACAGCAACAACAGCAGCAGCAACAACATCGGCCGCAGCAACAACTGCAGCATCAGCAACAACTGCAGCATCAGCAACAACTGCAGCAGCAGCAACAACTGAATCTCCAACTACCAAAGCAACAACAAGCAATAACAACAATGATGGCAGCAGCAGCAGTTTTTTAGCTGCAGCTGCCGCAGAGCAGCGCCAGCAACAGACGTCAGGCGACAGCAGCAGTAACAGTGACTGCAGCAATATGCTGTCAGCTGCAGGGCAGGTCAGTGGCCTCCTTTTCAGGAAAATTTATGCAGTTTTTTACTTTAAATAAAACTCTTTAGTGGTTTTCTGTAACACATTGCTTTACACCATAACTATCATGCCAGGGGCCATACTTTCAAAACTAGCTCAAAACTAGCTCTATTTCTTCTAGCTCAAAACTAGCTCTATTTTCTTGTCTATGATTGGTGGATTTTGCTTGAAAGGCCGTCAATGATTGGCCGATGAACTTACGATCTCTCAACTTTCTTTGAAAGTATAGGCCCAGGTTATTGATGGCTGAACCTTATTTCATGACAAATTTCTTGGTAATAGCAAGCTTATTTCCTTGTTAAAGGCATTGCTGGTAGTAACATTTGTGTACTGCAGGCAGTGGATGACTTGACTGCCAGCAGCGTGGCAGCAATAAGCAGTAAGTTGCAGCAAGTACGCGGCTACATCACCCAGACTACGGCTGCCATGACAGCTCTGGAGCAGCAAGCTGACTTGGTTAGCCTTCATGCAATATTAACCTTTTGTGTATTCTATTGTTTTTTTTGTACTTATGTGCATACATTTTTTCATGACATGTCTAGATTATTACCTATATTACAAATTTGGTCATCATATTGGCCATCACTAAGAAAGATGGTAACAGTTCATCTTGATTAAGCTATTCTTTTGTTGCTCATTCTTTAAAGTGGGGTGTTCTTTAAATTGGGTTCTTATTTAAATGTTTGCAAAGTAGAGAAAAAGCTGCAAAGCTACTTGCAAAGTCATTGCGAGACTCTCGACAATAATATCTAGACTCATTAGTCATTCCTTTAATCCTTTTTAATATTTCAGATTTGCAATATTAAAGTTATGTTGACCTTGATTGATGTATGTGCTGATTTTGTTTCATTGTTCATGATTGATTTATGTGGGCTTTTCTGATGAGGCATTCAGAGAGAAGAGAGAGCAAGTTTCAGGTAGATGGAAAAACTGATAATATGGTATTGATTAATAAAATTTGATTTATAATTTTTAGCTTGGAGTTTAGTCAGTTTTTACATTTTATAAATGGAAAATATTTCGCAGAATGGGGCAAGGTACCCTTAAATAGTTATTAAATATTTATAGTTATTAAATAGTTATTAAATAGTTATTTCAAGCAAACATTTTAATTGAGTTCAGTTCAACTCACGACAGCACTGCCATCTAACATAAGTTGCTGCCCATTCAAATAAGCATCAACGTCTGAAAATTATTTCCTAACCTCCATTTCTGAATTGCTAGTAAACTTTTAAGATATTAGTCCTAGTTTTTGACATTCCTGTTATATTTTAGTGACTGATATAGTGCATTCCAGTCCTAAGGGATTGTAATAGTAAGGAAACTAATGAACGGCTGAAATACTATGAAATTACTGAACTGTTAAGCAGCATCTTAATATCAATTATTTGATACAGTACCTGTTTATAATTAAGATTGTTGTGAAAAGTTTATTCAATAATATGTTTGGCAAGTTAGTGTGAAGAGAGGTGTTTGTTTGGTTAGGGTTAAATAAATAATTGGATTGATGGCCCTCGTATCCCTAAAAACCATCCTGAACCTCCACTTTGTTGAAACTTTTTGGTTTTATTTTTATTTACTGATTAAATTATGGAAACAAATATGACAAAACTGAGAAAAAGTTATAATTGAGGAGCCAAGACTGGTGCAAAAACCAAGGCTCAAGTTCTTCTTAACTTTAAATAACTTTAGTGATAAATTTGTCTTCTTAGGTCCTGTCTGAAAAGGCAATGAATCATTAAACATAGTTAAACATTTCAAGGAATTGTAAAACTTGCTGTAGAGCAGCAGTGGACACATTTTGTTCAATGCACCTACAATAACAAGCAAACTACATGTTATTTTAGCAGGTAAGACTGTTTGATGCCCAATTAAAGTTCATTTAATTACAGGACAAGATTGGTCAGTACAACACTCTGGTCAAGGTGCTTCGGGAACTTAAGACGTCCGAGTCCAAACTGTCTGCACATCTGGCAACACTGCAGACCTCTGTGAGTTTGGTCTGGCGACGCTGTAGACCTCTGTGAGTTTAGTCTGGCGACGCTGCAGACCTCTGTGAGTTTAGTCTGGCAACACTGCAGACCTCTGTGAGTTTAGTCTGGCGACGCTGCAGAGCTCTGTGAGTTTAGTCTGGCAACGCTGCAGACATCTGTGAGTTTAGTCTGGCGACGCTGCAGAGCTCTGTGAGTTGAGTCTGGCAACACTGCAGACATCTGTTAGTTTAGTCTGGCAACGCTGCAGACCTCGATGAGTTTAGTCTGGCAACACTGCAGACCTCGGTGAGTTTAGTCTGGCAACACTGCAGACCTCGATGAGTTTAGTCTGGCAACACTGCAGACATCCGTGAGTTTAGTCTGGCAACACTGCAGACCTCCGTGAGTTTNACATCACTCACTTTAGTCTGGCAATGCTGCAGACATCACTCACTTTAGTCTGGCAATGCTGCAGACATCACTCACTTTAGTCTGGCAATGCTGCAGACATCACTCGCTTTAGTCTGGCAATGCTGCAGACATCACTCGCTTTAGTCTGGCAATGCTGCAGACATCACTCGCTTTAGTCTGCCATATTGCATAATGTCTAATGTTCACGGCCTTGTCCTTATAAATGTCCCTATATCCTATATATAATATATAAATAAATGTCCCTATATATAATATATAAATAAATGTCCCTATATCCTATTCTAGTTTGTAATAATAATTGCGATGTGATGGTCTGCATTAATAATGTCTTGATTATAGCTCTTGATTAATGAAGCATTAGTTTATTTTATTCTGTATTGTTATATATTAATTACAATTTGTTGATTGTTATAGTTTATATTATTCTGTATTGTTATATATTAATTATAATTTGTTTTTAATTATAATTTGTCAATTGTTATAGTTTATATTATTATGTATTGTTATATATTAATTATAATTTGTTTTTAATTATAAGTTGTCAATTGTTATAGTTTATATTATTATGTATTGTTATATATTAATTATAATTTGTTTTTAATTATAAGTTGTCAATTGTTATAGTTTATATTATTATGTATTGTTATATATTAATTATAATTTGTTTTTAATTATAATTTGTTGATTGTTATAGTTTATATTAGTCGGTATTGTTATATTTTAATTATAATTTCTTGCTTGTTTTAGGGAGCGAGCTGTGGGACGCAGGCTCCAGGGCTTCCCAATTCCCAGGTGCGTGATGAGTTCATTCATCATTCATGCAGGAGTGAATGAGGAGAACTCATGCTTACTAAATCATGATCGTATATAGCATAATAAATATGATGTTAAATGATGTCGTCTTTTGTTATAGTATTTATTATTGTGATCACGTCTTCTGATAAAGTATTTATTATTGTGATCACGTCTTCTGATAAAGTATTTATTATTGTGATCAATTAAGAGGATGAATGTTGTGATAAGAGTCTTTTGAGGGGGGATAGTGTATCACCCGCTGATGTGGTCTGTTGCCTGCCCCTAACACCCCCCCCCAACAGAGCATAGGCCAGGTGTCGGTGAGGACGGTGGACGCGGTGGACGACAGCGGAGGACAAACTCCAGCCTTCCCGGCGCCCGCGGGGGCGTCCTTCTCTGACCGCCTCACGGCCGGCATGCAGGAGGCCAGTCTGCTCAATGGTCAGTCTTCTACTTACTTTATATTGAACGCTAGACCTAATCAAATTTATAATACCAGAAGAAATAAATGTTGGACGCTAGAGTTAATTAATTTACAATGCTAGAAGTGATTAATCTAGAACACTAGGATTAATTAATCTAGAACACTAGGATTAATTAATCTAGAACACTAGGATTAATTAATCTAGAACACTAGGATTAATTAATCTAGAACACTAGGATTAATTAATCTAGAACGCTATAATTAATTAGTCTAAAACGCTAGAATTGATTAATCTAGAACGCTATAATTAATTAGTCTAGATCGCTAGAATTAATTAGTCTAGAACGCTATAATTAATTAGTCTAGAACGCTATAATTAATTAGTCTAGAACGCTAGAATTAATTAGTCTAGAACGCTACAATTAATTAGTCTAGAACGCTAGAATTAATTAGTCTAGAACGCTAGAATTAATTAGTCTAGAGTTCGCGCTACAATTTATTAGTCTAGAAGGCTAGAATTAAAGCCGTTACCATTGCTCACAGCAGGAAACTGTGGCATAAGAGCTTGCACTGCGTAATATCCTCCGTATTTATTGCTTCTTGCAGTACTAACAGAAATGCTATCCAGAATTTAATTAGTACTATCAACATGCGCTTCATCACCGCGCTTGTACTATTAATTTAACTAGTACCATCCACTGAACTTGTACCAGCAACTTATTCTGTACACTGCACCACTAAGCCTCATTCTAGAGAACAAATGAGATAGTATTTGCATTCTTCCAACATACAAGCTGTTCTTCAGCGTAGAAACTACCGAGACAAATGCCTTCTGTGAAATGCTTGAGACAACATGTTAAATGCTTGTGACCTTATGTGGCATTCTTAGGACCATATGTAACGTACTTAGTGCATGTGTAGCATACTTAGGTCCTATGTTGCATACTTATGACCATATGTACAATGTAGCATACTTAGGACCATATGTAGCACTCTTAGGACCATATGTAGCATACTTAATATGATCATATGTTGCATACTCATGACCATATGTACAATGTAGCATACTGAGGACCATATGTAGCATACTTAGGACCATATGTAGCATAGGACCATATGTAGCATACTTAGGACCATATGTAGCATAGGACCATATGTAGCATAGGACCATATGTAGCATAGGACCATATGTAGCATAGGACCATATGTAGCACAGGACCATATGTAGCACAGGACCTTACATATAACACTGCCCTGTGCGGGTCAGCACGGCTACGTGCCAACGTGGAGCGGCGGGAAGACCTGGTGGAGCGCTACAGGGCGACGCGCGAGCGCCTCAGCGCCCTCAAGAGGCAGCGACGCGACATCCAACAGCAGGAGCGATCCATCCTGCTGGTGCGTGGGTGCTGGGGCCAGGGGCGTTATAGGGTCTAGTGGACGTTGGGGCCAGGGGCGTTATAGGGCCTAGTGGCCACCGCCGCTGTTGTGGGGCCGGGGGCGTTATAGGTCTAGTGGACGCTGGGGCCAGGGACCTTATAGGGCCTAGTGGCAGCGCCGCTGTTGTGGGGCCAGGGGCGTTATAGGTCTAGTGGACGCTGGGGCCAGGGGCCTTATAGGGCCTAGTGGGCACCGGCGCTGTTGTAGGGCCAGGGGCGTTATAGGTCTAGTGGACGCTGGGGGCCAGGGGCGTTATAGGTCTAGTGGACACCGCCGGTAGCCCAACACATCACTACACCGCCGCTGTTTCTGCTGTTGTCCGAGTTTTCCCTGACGGTTAAGCTGTTCCTGATCCGCACTTACNGGGGGGGGGGGGGGTATGAGGTATGAGGAGTGGTATGAGGTATTACACACATTAGAGGTATGAGGAGTGTGGGATGGGGGGGGCATTAAAGGTATACCGGCGCGATTGAGGAACTATATCGGACCATACCATCGCGATGGAGAAAAGGGGCATTAACTAAGTTTATGAGACAAATAATACGAGTATATATGACTAGTATATAAATAAAACTACTATATAGGGTGAGTTTATAAATAATACTAGTAGTATATATGACTAGTATATATGACGAGTATATACGACGAGTATATATATAATATGAGTATATACGACGAGTAAGTAAATATTACGAGTATACGTGATGGAATGACGCTCGTGCAGGCGCAGTCCTCCAGGGAGTCCCCGTATGAAGACCCCATCCCGGGGGCGGCGTCTTGGAGTCTTGAGGAGATCAACGCCGGACTTGCGGACTTCAGGGGACTTTATGAGAAAGTTGATACTTTGAGGAACGCTTATGATGTCAAGACCCAAGTAAGTCCACAGCTTAGTCTGTTTTTAGCGCATTTTCTCATTTATGGAAAAAAGGCGCTATTGTGCTCGCCATGTCCGTCCGTCCGTCCGTCTGTCTGAGCGTCCGTCCGTCCGTCTGTCTGTCTGTCTGTCCGTCCGTCCGTGACTTCACGTTTTTGTCGACGAGAAAATGCGCTCTCTGTCATTCACTGCAGTGAGTACTGAGTTATATTTTTTTATTTCTCTTAGAGGAACGCTTATATGGGAAAGACCAAATTAAGTCCACAGCTTTCGCTTTTTTTTTGTTTCTCTTAGAGGAAAGTGCATGTTGTCAAGACTCCAAGTCAATTTATGTAGCCGTATTGTTGTGTAGTAAATGTGTATTTGGTCTGGTGTATGTTTTATGATCTAAATATGTATATTTTGTAGTGTATGATTTATAGTTTGAATATGTGTGATGTGAGGTTCATATTGTATTATCTTGATGTGTACAGGGTGAGGTGTGTAATTTATGTTCTAAATGTATATAGCGTATGTTATACAATGTATAATTAAAATTTAAATATTATATGTTGTGTTGTACAGTGTGAGGTGTATAATGTAAATGTGTATGTTGTACAATGTATAATTCAAATGTATAAAAATGTAAATATTATGTGGTATGTGATGTAATATGGGATGTATAATTATAATGTGTGATCTAAATGTGTATGGCGTATGGTGTATAATGTATAATTAAAATGTATACCTATATTATGTCTTGTGATGTACAGTGTGAGGTGTAAAATGTATGATGTAAATGTGTATGTTGTACAATGTATAATTCGAATGTATAAAATTGTATATATTATGTGTTGTGTTATGTATTTCAGGCGCTGGATGCAGGCGATGCAGCTGGCCAAGCGGAGCTAGCCAGCAAGCTGCTGCAGCTCGCAACCAAACGCGCTCAGCTCATCGCTGTCATAAGTCAGCTCAAGCGACACCGAGCTGACAAGATGAGGGAACATGGCATGGGTGAGCTGACAAGATGAGGGAACATGGCATGGGTGAGCTGACAAGATGAGGGAACATGTCATGGGTGAGCTGACAAGATGAGGGAACATGGCATGGTTGAGCTGACAGGATGAGGGAACATGGCATGGGTGAGCTGACAAGATGAGGGAACATGTCATGGGTGAGCTGACAAGATGAGGGAAAATGGCATGGGTGAGCTGACATGTAACACGCAACATGTACACATGCAGCGTATTACATGTACACGTGTACATGCAGTGTATCACATGTACGTGTTGACGTGCAGACGTGGACGGCGACGAGGACGACTTCCTGCCGCTGCCGTCCACCTCGTCCACCGCCACCACCACCACCACCACCACCACCACCGTGCCCCCCACCACCGTATCCACCACCTTGCCCACCGACTTGGTAGCCTCCACCACCACCACCACCACCGTATCCCCCACCACCACCACCACCACCGTATCCACCACCACCACCACCACCACCGTATCCACCACCTTGCCCACCGACTTGATAGCCTCCACCGCCACCACCACCGTATCCACCACCACCACCGTATCCTCCACCTTGCCCGCCTATTTGATACCCACCTCCTCCAATATAACCTCCTTTGACCCCACCAAATCCTTCAACATTTCCTCCAGCAGATCCACCAGTTCTTCCATCGGCCTGGTTCTCTAATGAATCACACCCTCTTTGGTGGAAGCCCCCGTTGTACACCACTGGATCTCCTCTAAAAGAGGGGCCAAATCCGCCGTATCCATCAAACTTGATCTCCCTGTTTGCTCTCAAATTTATCCTCGGAAAATAATCGTCAGTTCCAAAACCGAAACCGATAGCGAAGTTAGGAAACTGTTCAGCATTCCGCACGATGCGAACGTTGTGAGTTCTTGGGAAAGATTTTTTATTGCTGTTATCTCCGACAGGTTTGTTGCTGTAGCTGTTATCTCCGTCAGGTTTGTTGCTGTAGCTGTTATCTCCGTCAGGTTTGTTGCTCAACGTTTCAGTGGATGGAGCCCCGACTTGTCTTTTAGCTCGAAAAAAGTGAGGTCTCCCATGAATATTTCCTCCAGGTTTATTGCTGACACTCCCTCCAGGTTTATTGCTGACACTCCCTCCAGGTTTATTGCTGACACTCCCTCCAGGTTTATTGCCTGTCTCTTATACACATCTAGATGTGTATAAGAGACAGCTGTTGAGAGAAGCTCTGCAGCGACTGTTGAGAGAAGCTCTGCAGCGACTGTTGAGAGAAGCTCTGCAGCGACTGTTGAGAGAAGCTCTGCAGCGACTGTTGAGAGGAGCTCTGCAGCGACTGTTGAGAGAAGCTCTGCAGCGACTGTTGAGAGAAGCTCTGCAGCGACTGTTGAGAGAAGCTCTGCAGCGACTGTTGAAGGGAGCTCTGCAGCGACTGTTGAGAGATGTGTATAAGAGACAGGGTCATAACCCCCTAACAGCAGGTCATAAGCCCCCTAACAGCAGGTCATAAGCCCCTAACAGCAGGTCCTAACCCTCTAACAGCAGGTCATAACCCTCTAACAGCAGGTCATAACCCTCTAACAGCAGGTCATAACCCCCTAACAGCAGGTCATAACCCCCTAACAGCAGGTCATAACCCCCTAACAGCAGGTCATAACCCGATAACAGCAGGTCATAACCCCCTAACAGCAGGTCATAAGCCCCCTAACAGCAGGTCATAAGCCCCTAACAGCAGGTCATAACCCTCTAACAGCAGGTCCTAACCCCCTAACAGCAGGTCATAACCCTCTAACAGCAGGTCATGAGGTGATAGCCCACATATGCAGGACTAATTAATCCTACCAGACCGGAGCTAATTCACATTGACAACTGTTCTACATTCCTCCTATATGATCTTAACTTTCCGCAAAAATTGTGATAGATCGCATGTGCATGTCAAATTTTTGTTGCCAGACCGGAACTAATATTTTAGTCAGGCCACTAAGCTGCACATATCTTCTCAGATGCCAAGAGAAGCAAATAAATAATGTCAGTTTGTCTCTATTGTGTCATGTTATTTGCAGTGAACAATGTCATACTGATGCTACAGCTACCATTTTTAGCGCCATTTTCTCATTAATGGAAAAAATGAACTATTGTGCTTGCCATGTCCGTCTGTCTGTCCGTCCGTCCGTCCGTGGTCTGTCCGTCCGTCCGTGACCTCAAGTTTTCGTCGACGAGAAAATGCGCTCTCTGTCACTCACTGCAGTGAGTACTGAGTTATATTTTTTACAATTATTATTGTATTGGCGGATAAAATAATTGTTTAGAGCTCGTATGTAGCCTTGCAACCCTGTTGTAACGAATACAATACCGGGTAAAAAGTAGTTTTTTATCACATGTTTTTCTTTAAAACTGAAGAAACTTTATCGCTTGCAGACGTCAGTTCTGCCAGTGCCAGCCTTACCTCGGCCATTGTCAGCTCTGATACTGCGGCTGTCAGCTCTGACACTGCAGCTGTCAACTCCCCTACAGCCCCTGTCAGCACTGTCAAGGATAACGACCGGCACGATGCAACAGGACTGTCAGCAGAGGATCTGTCAGACCTGCTGCCAGCAGATCCTGTTCCGCAGAGCAGCGGAGGCAGCGTCAGCATCGGCACACTGCCAGCACTTGTTGCGGTCAACGGCGCTGACACTCTGCCCGACCAAGGTGAGGGCTGCTGACACTCTGCCTGACCAAGGTGAAAAATGCTGACACTCTGCCTGACCAAGGTGAGGGCTGCTGACACTCTGCCTGACCAAGGTGAGGGCGGCTGACACTCTGCCTGACGAGGTGAGGGCTGCTGACACTCTGCCTGACCAAGGTGAGGGCTGCTGACACTCTGCCTGACCAAGGTGAGGGCGGCTGACACTCTGCCTGACCAAGTGGGGACTTTTGAAGGATATGGAAATTAAACATTATCATTTATTCATGAATTATAGAGACTCATTATCAGTAACCTCTAATTCATCTTCTCGTAAACATTGTTCGGTCCTGCAACACAGTGAGGGATAATGACTGCTATAACTCAGCAGTTTTGTTATACCAAGTAGATAAGGCAGACAGAACACGTACAAACTTATTTATTCTATGTTACAGCTTGTTTTATGTGCCTGCATACGTGTAAATGTACCATTGATAAATTGATAACAAGTATTTTGCAATTGATTATTGGACCATTGATAACGAGTATTGTTATACCAAGTAAATAAGGTGAACAGAACGCATACAAACTTATTGTATGTTACAGCATATCGTGTGTGCCTGTGTATGTGTAAATGAACCATTAAAAAAATATTCATTGATATGTCCTACGATGACAGTATTGTGGCACTGACAAATATCGGTGTTGTATATATAATTGAATTGTTTTTTAAATGTAGTATAATTATTTAATTTACATAAAGCGATAGTTAAAGTGACTTCCATCATTACCACTAACACTGAATTAAATCAAGCCCCAGGACTGCCTGCCTGATTTGAACATGAATTTTTTACAGGATAATTCACCGAGTGGAGCAGCTGATGACCCATCAGGTGCAGCAGATGCCCCATCAGGTGCAGCAGATGCCCTATCAGATGCCCCATCAGATGCTCATGCCCCTGACACAGCAGATGCTGACATGGCTGACGAGTTCATCACAGGCGTCAGCGGCTCCATAATTCGTCTCTCAGAGACCGAGCGTCACGACCCCGCAGTTATCGCTAAGTTCAAGTGGGCGTTTGCTTTTAAATCAAAATTTCATCAATATTTGATGGTTTACACATGTTGGTATTTGTCTATTATATTTGGTGACTATGAGACTTTAATGTTAGTTTTGGCAGATGCATCACTTTCCCGCTGCCATGTGGAGCTTTGAGTTAACGCTTATGTTGCTGAGGTCACTAATGATGTTTAATATGAACTCAAGTTATTTGAGTTCATTGAGAAATTTAGATCATTTTGTTCATTGAGTTCATTGAGAACTCAATGTTCATCATCAGTTTACATCATCATCAGTTCATTGAGAAATTTCACATCATTCCTTGAGAAATTTATGCTCTTATCTCGCGGACATACTGTGTTCAGGAGACCCGATATTGCGTTATGTTGCTGGCTTCACCTCTCTTGCCTGAGATGCTTCAGTCTGACATGAACTAACATCTAGTGACCTGACCTGACCTGATCTGACCTTATTTGACCTCATCGAGTTTGACAGATGACCTAAACTTGCCTGACCTGACCTAACTTGACTTGACCTGACCTTATTTGACCTCATCTGGTTTAACCTGATCTGATGTGACCTGATCTAACTTGACTTAACCTAACTTGGCCTACCCTGACTTAACTTGACCTGACCTGACCAGCTATTAACTACACATAAATGCCGCGTGTCACGCTGACGTGCCACGCGCACCATGTGCTGACCATGTGCTGACCATGTGCTGACACGTGCACCTGCTGCAGGGAGCTGAGCGCCGCGAAGCAGCGCATGGCTGACATGGCTGACATCATGCAGTGTATCAGCGCATCGCGGGGCTCTGGCCGCCCACTCAGCGAGGTGCTGACTCAGCGTCAGCTGGCCCTGCTGCAGCGTGCTGAGGTGGGTGCTGACTCAGCGTCAGCTGGCCCTGCTGCAGCGTGCTGAGGTGAGTGCTGACTCAGCGTCAGCTGGCCCTGCTGCAGCGTGCTGAGGTGGGTGCTGACTCAGCGTCAGCTGGCCCTGCTGCAGCATGCTGAGGTGATGCCTTGAAGTCCTCTAGATATCCTAAAATTCCTCTAGAAGTCATCTAGAGATCCTAAAATTCTTCTAGAAGTCCCCTAGGGATTCTAAAATTCCCCTACAAGTCCTCTAGAGATCCTAAAATTCTAATAGAAGACCTCTAGAGATCCTAAAATTCCCTTAGAACTCCACTAGAGATCCTAGACAAATGAGTTCAGCTCCTGATAAAATTTAAATTTCTGCCATTTGGCTCCCTGACACGCTCTTCGGACGCTGTCATTGAATCTATTATTATAATATAATGATAGTGAGCAATATCTGTTATCACAATATATGCTAGTGAGCAATATTTGTTATCGCGACATAGCGAGCAATATTTGTTATCACAACATAGCGAGCAATATTTGTTATCGCAACATAGCGAGCAATATTTGTTATCACAAGATAGTGAACAATATTTGTTATCGCAATATAGTGAACAATATTTGTTATCGCAATATAGTGAACAATATTTGTTATCGCAATATAGTGAGCAATATTTGTTATCGCAATATAGTGAACAATATTTGTTATCACAATATTTGCTTCCATATTATGACTTAAAATTATTTAATGTCATAATTTCTCTGGAGAATAATTCTCTACACGAGCGCCTGTTGCAGGAGGAAGAAGAGGCGAGCGGGGAACCCTCATCGTCCCGACACCGGCATCATGATGGCGGCAGGTAGCTTTAGCATTGTGATGGTGGCAGGTAGCTTTAGCATTGTGATGGTGGCAGGTAGCTTTAGCATTGTGATGGCGGCAGGTAGCTTTAACATTGTGATGGCGGCAGGTAGCTTTAGCATTGTGATGGCGGCAGGTAGCTTTAGCATTGTGATGGCGGCAGGTAGCTTTAGCATTGTGATGGCGGCAGGTAGCTTTAGCATTGTGATGGCGGCAGGTAGCTTTAGCATTGTGATGACGGCAGGTAGCTTTAGCATTGCACTGTTGCGTGAGTCGTGAGTATATGTATAGGTATGGTTTAGTTTTTTATTTAGTTTTGTTGCTGCTGTGCCGCTGAATCACATCCATTATGAAATTACTATCAATTGTACATTGAATGTACCAATTTGGCTTAATGTTTAGTGCACTTCTCATTTCATTCAACATTATCAAATCATTCGTACCTTCATCAATGAAAAATATATTAAAAAATTCATAAAACCTGATATACAAAATAATTTGTACATTTTTCAGTCGAGATGAAGAAAGTGAAGAAAGAACGATAACCAACGAGCAGCAGCGCCCCGCTCCTGTTGAGCAGGTGAGCGTTGAGACTGTTGAGCAGGTGAGCGTTGAGACTGTTGAGCATGTGAGTGTTGAGACTGTTGAGCAGGTGAGTGTTGAGGCTGTTCTTTAACACATTTTTAGATATAATTTTTTACATATAATTGCTGTAAATACCTTCTATAAATGGCATTAGCACAAAGAACTGTTATTAAATAACCATCACAATTAATGTTACTGCTGTGATGTTAGTGTGTGGAGTGATATTGTCAGCAACCTGACATCAGTCCCAGTGTTGCTTGCTGACTCGTTACTGTCAGCATGTTGGTTACTGTCAGCATGTTGGTTACTGTCAGCATGTTGGTTATTGTCAGCATGTTGGTTATTGTCAGCGTGTTGGTTATTGTCAGCATGTTGGTTATTGTCAGCATATTCATTATTTTCATCAGTTCTTGGGTATCATAACCACAGCTGCAGTTGATATCATTTAAGCCATCAAAGTCAACTTGTTGGCTCCTCAAAATGTATCAATTGTCAGTGTTGATTTGGTTGTCTCACATGTACATAACTGTACTTCTTATCAATATTCATAGTGAATTTGTCAATTAGTATAATAATTCTATAATTCACTACAATTCTTTATACTATAACTAAAATTAATTCTATATTGCATCATGTAGGTATAATATCTCGTATGCAATTTTTCATTAATCATAATATAACTATAATAAATAAAATAGATTGAAATAAATATGATATATTTATTACTGTATATAACTATAATAGATTGAAATAAATATGATATATTTATTTTATAACTATAATAGATTGAAATTAATAGATATATTTGTTATATAAATATAATAAATTTAAATAAATATGATATATTTATTATATAAATATAATAGATTGAAATAAATAAGAATGTCTGGCTTGCAGGAAGGCTGGCAGGAGCACCAGCAGCGTCTGGCGCACATAGCCGCTCTGCAGCAGGAGCTGTGGATGAAGAGGACCACACTGCGGGACCTCATGAGGTCTGGTGGCGGGGTGTGGGGTGTGGGGCACTGCAGGACCTCATGGGGTCTGGTGGCGGGGTGTGGGGCACTGCAGGACCTCATGAGGTCTGGTGGCGGGGTGTGGGGCACTGCAGGACCTCATGAGGTCTGGGGGCGGGGTGTGGGGCACTGCAGGACCTCATGAGGTCTGGTGGCGGGGTGTGGAGTGTGGGGCACTCCAGGACCTCATTATTCTCACTATAAAAAAACATTGTTATATTATATACTAGAATGTTATAATTTAAACTAATTTAACAGAAGCAATATTGCTCTTTTTGAGGTTGAAGTAAACTATAGAATTTTAAAACTAATTATAGGATCATCACTTTATAGCACAAAAAGGTACATAATTAACATTTAATTATTAAACTATTTATCTTAAAATTATTGAAGTAATAATGACATGATTATTTGCATCCAACAGCGGCATAGACAAGAGCTGTCCACCACACCTCGACAACCTCAACCACCACCACAACCACAGCGCCCCGTGAGTTGTTCTTGTGGTTGCCAACCGATCTCCGGTTGTTCTTGAGGTTGCCAACCGATCTCCGGTTGTTCTTGAGGTTGCCAACCGATCTCCGGTTGTTCTTGAGGTTGCCAACCGATCTCTGGTTGTTCTTGAGGTTGCCAACCGATCTCTGGTTGTTCTTGAGGTTGCCAACCGATCTCCGGTTGTTCTTGTGGTTGCCAACCGATCTCCGGTTGTTCTTGAGGTTGCCAACCGATCTCCGGTTGTTCTTGAGGTTGTCCACCGATCTCCGGTTGTTCTTGTGGTTGCCAACCGATCTCTGGTTGTTCTTGTGGTTGCCAACCGATCTCCGGTTGTTCTTGTGGTTGCCAACCGATCTCCGGTTGTTCTTGTGGTTGCCAACCGATCAGGGTGGCTTTTTTTATGTTGCTGTTTAGATTTGTGCATTTCTTGAATAAATAAATAATGAAATATATAATAATGCAAATTAATTATAATATAATTAAATGATATTAATATGATATTGATCACAAATTTAGTTTTAATAGATGCCCTTAATTTAATGCCTTAATTTAGTCCAAGATGCCCTTAGATCTGATTTTTACCCTACAACCATTATATTATTCAGTTGAATTTACCCTCGTAAATTTTCCTTCGTGAATTTCCCCTCAATATTTCCCCCTCTCAGCGGTAACGATGAAGACGAAGGTAGCCAGGACCTTCGTTCGTCTTCCTTCAGCGCCAGCCACAATGCCACGGCCGCACGCCACTGCGCCACTGAATCCGATGGCCACTTTGCCGATGGCCACGACGCTGATGGCACCGCCCTCAGCGTCCGACCCAAGGCAGCTAAACGTGAGAGCTAAAATAACAATTATTCTTACACGCTCTCAACTGCCGTGCCTATAATGAGAAAATAATTAAATGCTCTGTGTAATTAATATATGTTAAATGAGAATTAATGTTTATGTAGGGCTTATCAGTCCAATGATGTATCTAAAATATCTATTATCATCAAAAGTAGTATCTTGTATCAAAAGCTGTATAAGTAATCAATCTTTTATGACTATAATGCAGAACATTTTTGTATTCGATAAATCTTACCCTTTTTTGATCAAATAACTGTTATTGTGGTGTAATGAAGATGGTGTGAACAGATAACAGCTTGCCTCCTGTTGCTGCGGCTGAATCAACAGCTGCTGTTGACAACAGCGATGCTCAACAGGCTCTTGTTGACGCTCTACAACAGGCGAGTCACTGCCGTCTGCTGTCCTGTTAAATGCAGTCCTGTTAAGTGCAGTCCTGTTAAATGCAGTCCTGTTAAGTGCAGTCCTGTTAAATGCAGTGCTGTTAAGTGCAGTCCTGTTAAATGCAGTCCTGTTAAGTGCAGCCCTGTTAAATGCAGTTAGTGCAGTCCTGTTAAGTGCAGTCCTGTTAAGTGCAGTCCTGTTAAGTGCAGTCCTGTTAAGCAACAGACACTCTCGCCCTGTTCTGTTACTGTTGTGCTTATATAAATGACTCGTCCGTTCTGTTGTGCCACACATGTTGGTTTAATTCAGGCTTAAATATTTATTTAACTGACCTTAACTCTCGTTGCCGAACCTGTTGGTACGAATATCATTGGCCGAGATATCTGATCTTTTGGTGCGAAAATCATTGGCCAAGCTACCTGATCTTTTGTCTCACAATATTCGCTGTAAAATTATCATGCCTCGGCCGTCCTGTTTTTTTTTTTTTTTTTGTATTGCAAATGCTGCGTCTGTGATGATTCGTTGCGGTCACGACTAACTGCTCATTAAATTGCTGATTGTTCTCTAATTGTTAATTGAAGTGTTCGATGTTGCAGCTCCGGGCGGTGCAAGGAACCATTGACAGTCTGCACCTCTCCCTGACATCTGGCAGCAACAAGCAGCAACTGTTGCAACAATCGCAGCAGCAGCAACAACAACTGTTGCAACAATCACAAGAGCAACAACAACTGCAGCAGCAACTGTTGCAACAACAGCAATCGCAGCAGCCACAGCTCCAGCAATTAGCGCAACCATCGAACCAACCATCTCAGCAACAGCAGATTCAGCAACTGCAGCAACAGCAGCAAAATCCGCTGCAGCAACTGCCCTGCAGTGTAGCTAATACTGCAAGTCTTCATCCTATCGGTTAGTAAATTAATCTATCGTAATTAGTACGTATCAATTCATATCAATTAATACGTATCAAGCCTCCGTAATTAATAAATACTAAAGAATCTTTTTACGAAGTAATTAGCCATAAAAGATTTGGTTATTTTCGACTGTATTTGCTATGGAGCATATAAATGTTCTAGTGACGCGAGGTGTAGGTATGCTCTGAATGCGTTCTCATCTTAAAATATTCTGCTCAATTCATTTATTTGTGTTGTTATAACTTGTTAAATTATGTTTTACTGAAGCTGTTCCTGTACAACATATTCGCCTAGTATATACCGAACGAACAACTGATGTTTTCTTACTTGTATGTGTTGCATTGGCTCCTGAATATTTCCGTATCTCCGCATAACTTGCCTCCTGAGATTTGTTCAATTTTTCCATTCTCATACAACTTCTTGCTTTCTATTACTTCATATTTATATCCCACTATTGTTATTTTTCTGTGAATAATTCGAATTGATCGCAATCTACTGAATCTTATACTGCATTTCAGGCAATCTATTGAATCTTATACTGCATTTCAGGCAATCTATTGAATCTTATACTGCATTTCAGGCAATCTACTGAATCTTATACTGCATTTCAGGCAATCTACTGAATCTTATACTGCATTTCAGGCAATCTACTGAATCTTATACTGCATTTCAGGCAATCTACTGAATCTTATACTGCATTTCAGGCAATCTACTGAATCTTGTACTGCATTTCAGGCAATCTACTGAATCTTATACTGCATTTCAGACGTCGCCAGCTCAGCAGGCCTGCTGAGTTTGGGCAGCAGTTCAGCAGCAGCCCTGCAGCAGTGCTTCTCACAGCTGTATCAGCACGCCATTGAGATACAGACGCTCAACAAGCAGCTGCAGGTCAGACATCAGCAGCAGCTCATGCAGCTGTACCACCAACAGCTGTACCATCAACAGCTGTACCATCAACAGCTGTACCATCAACAGCTGCAACAGCAACACCTGCAGCACATGACTCACAGGAACCTATACGCTGAAACGCCTGCGTATAGTCTCTACCCTCACTCTACCGCCTCTATCTACCCTCATTCTACCGCCTCTACCTACCCTTACTCTAGTTACGCTGCTCTACTCGCCTCTACGAATCCTGCTTATGGCTTCCATACTTCGCTTACTCCTGCTCTTCCATTGCTTTATCCTACTCACTCTCTTAGTGTTCCTATTTCTTTCCCATCGGGGCTTGCACCGTCTCTTCCATCCGCTGGCTCTCTTCCATCCGCACACTCTCTTTCACCTGCTGGCACTCTTCCATCCGCAAACTCTCTTCCACCTGCTCTTTCTCTTCCACCTCCACCGCCTCTCTTCCCTCCTCTCTCTTCCACCTCCTCTTCACTGTTGGATGGCGCAGGGTTCGCTGTGTACGGCGGCCTGGCATCTCATCCACCCTCTTCCACCGCGAGCAGCTATGCTAGTCACATGAACCCTCCTACTCTTCCACCTCATTAGGGGATGAACCCTCCTTCTCTTCCACCTCATTAAGGGATGAACCCTCCTCCTCTTCCACCTCATTAGGGGATGAACCCTCCTTCTCTTCCACCTCATTAAGGGATGAACCTTCCTTCTCTTCCACCTCATTAAGGGATGAACCCTCCTTCCCTTCCACCTCATTAGGGGATGAACCCTCCTACTCTTCCACCTCATTAGGGGATGAACCCTCCTTCTCTTCCACCTCATTAAGGGATGAACCCTCCTTC